GACCACCACAGTCCGCCCTTGGGCGACTATCAGGCAAGCGGCTGCGCGCGCAGGGCAAGGGAGGTTAGCCCCGGGGTGCCGCCAAACCACTTGCCGGCAAGTTCGACCGACTGCCATACTCCTCCTATATACCAGCACGGACGCTCCGTACAAGAGCCAGGTTCTATCACGCCCATTCTGTCGCCGTGGAGTGCGCGGAAAAACGACAAAAGGGCACGTCGAATTCTAATCGATGACACGTGACGTTGCGCGCCAACCAGTCACGTGTTACGGTTGCGGTCACTCACCGGACTTTGTAATCTCACTAATGACGCGAGATTTACACCGCCGACGACCGTTACACTTTGGAGCGATCCGTCGCTCCTGCAATTGGTGCAAAATCGCTCCAATCGCAAAGTCTGACATCGGCCATTGCTTTGGGGTTCATGCACGGCTGGTGACTTCTAGATGCAGCCCATAAAGAACCCGTGAACCAATAGAATGAACTCATTGTCAGTTCAGGTGACTGAGAGGTAGGGCTACTCACTTGACATACATGGAAAGCTGCAATGTGTGAGTTCACACTGTCCCGTTGAGTGGGTGCAGACAAGCAGCGCGCCACGCTGCGACTCCGTGCTGCTCACGCCGACTATAAATGCACGAGAACCGTGCCGCGATTCTGTAACCGCGCCAATCGTACTCGTTAATCGGAAAGCCTGCCACTTGCCTGAATGGTGAACCGTACTCGATCGTAGACAGGATTGAGCACACATCAAGCTTAAGCTAATTGGATGTAATAAAAGTTGTGCATTGGTTCCTCAAACAACGAAGTCACAACGTGACGTGACTTCTCTACTGCTTACGTTGGGTACAATACATTTTATTTAGATTACTAATGGCATGTTAATGGAAGAAGAATATGTGAGGTGAGCTTTTCGTCCTTTTAGCTTACTTGTCAGCATGTCCTCAATTGTCTTCTTATAGCTCAATGTCGGCAACCGAAACGGTTGTGGAAATGCTCAACAGTCAGATGAACAATGACGACTCATCGACCTATTTAGAAGAAGAAAGAAGTCGAGAGGTAGAAAATGGTGACAGTCGTTCAAACTCGGTGCCTTGGATAGAAGAGGGTTCTATTCACTGTGAGGAGTTGTTGCCTTCATCCGATGTAGTTATGGAGTGAGTGATTTATGTACCTTTTGGGTCTATTCTTAATAAGGAAAAGCATCTGGCTGGCTGGTTTTAGGATTAGCCATTCCAATAAGTGTCTATCAGTAGTTAGTGTTAATTTTCATTCATTCAGTGTTAAAGCTAATTCCAACTTCACGTGCTCCGTATCAACATCGCGCGATCCAATAGCAATCGTCGCAAAGTCTGACACCTGCTTTATGACTGGTAGCAAACAAGATGTAGACAAAGGGAATATATAAAACAGTGTGGTGTTAACGAAACAGTGTTTACTTCTTCGAATGCGAAATCAACAATTTGCAGATTTCTGTTAAAGCAACAGTCCCAGCAGGGTTTCACCTTCGACACTAATGGTGTGGAACGATGCGCTAGCCCTAGTCAAGAACATAAGAAGTGTGACTGAACAAAAACTCACCTTGGAAAGCCGCTAGAAAGGGAGCTGAACGGCTTCGAAGTGGGCGTGGTTGGAAGTCAGGCCGAGGGATTGCAGCCGACTGAGCAACCACGCCCACTTCGAAGCCGTTCAGCTTCCTTTCTAGCAGCTTTCCAAGGTGAGTTTTTGTTGGGTCACACTTTACTTCTTGACTAGGGTGAGCGCATTGTTCCACGCCATTAGTGTTGAAGGTAAAACCCTGGTGGGACTGTTGCTTTAACAGAAATCTGCAAATTGTTGATTTCGCATTCGAAGAAGTAAACACTGTTTCGTTAACACCACACTGTTTTATATATTCCCTTTGTCTACATCTTGTTTGCTACCAGTCATAAAGCAGGTGTCAGACTTTGCGACGATTGCTATTGGATCGCGCGATGATGATACGAAGCACGTGAAGTTCCTTGCCGGCAAACGGCATCGATCGAGGATGGTGCCAGTGCCAACCACGACTGCACTTTTGCAATAGCGATCGCGCGATTATGCAGGTTGCATTTTGTAAGCGCGAGAGTGCAGCCGCGATGTCACGGTACAGTCGCGAAGTCTGATATGCATTTCGCGATTGGTGGCCAAGTCTGACACCTGCTTGAAATACTGGGCCTGATGTGGTGAACGTAGGAACACTTCCAGGAAAAGCTACGTTCGTTCTCAACTTTTTGGAATATTAGGAGATCAGACAATGATACGTTGGAGAAGAAGGGGTCAAGGTTGAATTGATTTGACCTACGACTCTCAAGCTCCTCATCTATTTTCTTTATCGATACGTATTTGAACTTTCCAGCCCAAGTTGCTAATCCCTATTCTAAAAAATCTAAGTTAAACGCGTTCTGGTGCATATAGTGGAGGAATCGCGTCATCCGAATCCTACGTCTGCAACAAATGCAATGGACGGATTCAACACCCGGACGGGTTACAAACGTCTGATTGTGCTCAGAAGCACATAATCATGAGCGAGTACCTTGCTTTATGATCTGCTTTATAGGGAGGATGCAGGAAATGACGTAGAAGTGGCAAGTGATGAGATAGTTAGTGGTTTATTAGCTCTCGAAAACATCCTGAATCGCCAACTCAAAGGAATAGGCAAGGTTAGTTCCGCTTTGCTTCTCCAACAGCTCAAAAACTCCTGCCGAAATATAAAACTGTTTTTACCAGGTTCGAAGGCGTATAGAGACAGCAAGGCGTCTCACTGGAGTTGAAGGTCACGGCTTACGATATCTTGTAAGGCGAAACGTTGAAGCAATTGATGCACTGGATAAACATCGTGCGGAATATGATCAGAAATTTTCTTCACTTGTTGGGCACTGGAAATCAGTTGGATACCACCAATCTAGCAGTTACGCGTTAGTATTTTTCTGCTCTCAATTGAGGAAAAAGTGTTATTACAGCATACAGCACCCTTATATGGAGGCCATTTAGCATAAGCATGCTGCACAAAGGAACTTAGCTTTCAGAATAGATCCTTTATCTAAAGGCGGTGAAACTCGAACGGCTCCTGAAAGTCAAGAGGATGACGACATAGTGGTGTTGGACGAAATAAGTAAATCGCCTCTCAGTGAATCTGTGCGCTCTAATTGTGGAAGTGAAATGGATGTCTTGGAAGCTCTTAATGGAGGAAACTGTGAGGTAATGCAGATGAAGTTCTATCTTTCTCCATCTTTTTGCTCGAAAAAAAGATTGATCTCTGTTTGAGGCGTCGACGTCTGCTGGAAATGGAATGACATTGCTAGGAATGTTAAACGAGGAGAGGCTTGCTTTCGAAAAAGAGGTTTGGACATCACTCGCCACTACTTTGCCGGCGCTATTGCAAGATGCGAGGCATTGTAGTGGCAATACATTCAAAACCGCGTCAAACATATCTCGTCATTTATAAGCAAGGTTAAGCCTAGGCGGGGGATACTGCACGATGAGTGAGCAGTTTTATTTCTTCCGAGATTCCTGCCCTGGCCTAGGTTATTGTTAGTCCTAGGGATGCCCCTATATTGCGATAGCGCTTCCGTGCTTCTTTGGGCTGGGTCAGACTGCGAGTCGCGGGGTGTGAGCGGTTTGAACCATGCACCCAACGGCTCGACAGTGCGTGAAAGTGGCGGAGTCTCTCTCGGGAGCACGATGATTCTCACCACTTCCATGGGAATATGGAGAGAATCATCATGCTAGTGAAAGAGACTCACGCTGCTTTCGCGCCCTGTCGAGCCGCAGGCGCATCGCTCGTACTCCTCGATTCGCTGAATTCGCAAAGACTGAAACCGTCCTTGGAATTGATTGCGTGAGACTAGGTTCAAACTCATGGCTGGGTGGTCACACGTGTTCAAGAGAAGATGAGGGCCGGTGTCAGGCCGGTGTTAGACTTTGCGAATCCAGCAGTTCGCTAGCAGGCAGTTGAGTCGCTACTAACGAATCGCTGGAATCACAAAGCCTGACACCGCAGGATCAGGCAGTAACATTTCAAACTGCGGGCGTTTACCTTCCGCGCAAATGGCCAGCTACCCACGAGTCTACGGTCCCCAAACTCGGTCCTTTGCACTGTCTCAGTTTTCGTGAATATAATCACGCAGCTCAAATTAACCAATATAGGATCGCTGAAAAAGAACCTGACTGGTGATTCGTTTCCTCGTAGGCAAAGGGGTGGAGCGCTAGACGCTGTCATTTTTAACTCCAATATAGATAGGGCTATGGATGGCTTTCTATAAATCTGCCAACGTTGCCAGGGTGTGGTTCACTAGGGCGGAATGCGAGTTTTTCGCGTTTCGCAACGCGGAACATTTTTCGCTGCGGGAACCTCAGGTCCACCCTGATCAAAAATGTTTCGCGCTGCGAGACGCGAAAAAGTCGTTTTCTGCCGTAGTGACCACACCCACGTTGCCAAAGCCTGATATTTTGGTGATGGAACGACCTTTGAAGGAAAGGGGATGCATAAATACAAAACAGTCTGGATATTAGGTACAGGATTGTGGCATTGATTAAGTAGAATTGAAGTGTAGCTTTCAAGCATTACTCATAATATCACTGTACGAACCACTTGTTAGCCCTTGTGTGACTTTTGTTGAAGCGAGTTTGAACAGGCTCAAACCAGGAACCCATCTACACCCCCCCCCTTTCTTCACACTTTGGAGCGCGGCCGAGAAGAATAACTAAGTGCCCGCGAATGTGCGGGTAAATTTGAAAACGCATTCGTGCCCGCGAGCTGTGCTGGGGCCGGCTGCAGCAAGAATCGGCCAGGGTTGATGGACTTTTTGAACTCGGTCCTTTATGCCGCCTCAATCCGACCCTCTCGTCTGCGCTCACTCACCTCGTACTCTCCCCCTTACAGGGCTTAGTTCTTGGGCTTTCACCCATCTCTTTGGGATTTGGAACCGAGCCAGGCGCCGTTCTCTATCTCCGTCGTTCGTGGCAGGACCATATAGAAATTCAAGTTGTTCCTAAACCTACAGGGAATGGGTCCTCAAAACTTTGTATGCACCCCCCCCCCTATTTTTGATCACGAGGACTGCGTTATCGTGGAGTGGAGACGTAAAATTTTGGAGAGTCATCCCCCTGCCCGGACCTTGCTGCAACCGGCCCCTGATGAAGCGTTTTCAAATCCACCCGGGAAGTTCGCGAGGGAGGGGGGAGTCCCCCCATTTTGATCACGAGAATTGCGTGATCGACTGGAGTGAAGACGCAAAATTTTGGGGACCAACCCTTGGCCAGCTTGTTGCCACCGGCCCCTGATAAAGCGTTTTCAAATTTACTTGTTTAGTTCGCGGGCGCTACCAACTCGGCCGTTTCCCAAAGTGTGAAGAAAGTGGGGGAGTCGAGTTTGGAGTTGACACCTGCGATCATGCAGTCGCATGAGCGATGCGTATATACCACACTCAAGCAGCAGACAAGGTACAGGGGCAGTCGCATAGTATGACCGCGGTCTTATAATTAATGCAGGTGTCTCCGTTGCCCGGGTTCTTTTTAAATAAGGATACACGTGTGCTTTTGTGGTAGGGCATTATGTCTTGCATATATCATACCTTCCTAAATCTTTGCTATCTTAAGGTCTCCACGAAAAATCGATTTACAAGCTAAGACACCATTAATGTGACCAGTTTTTTCTTTGTTCAGGAGGACAGACCCAGCAAATGCTCGTCTGCTATGGAAAGTAGCGTTCCTCGTAGTGTGTGCAATAACGAAACGCTTGATACCAGTGGCAGTTCACATATGGAGACCGCTGCCTCTGCTAATGTAAGTCCCTGAAGTTCACGAAGATCAGGCACCAATCGATATGGTCGCTTTTCAGCGCACTGATAATGATGGTGTAGCTGGCGATGATGGGATTAACGAAACGGAAACGCTTCAACAGCAGTCAATGCAAGTATGTTGTCTTTTTTTTATATCATCGCCATTGTTTAATCAAATATTACCCGTTTCTATCCCCCAACATCGTACTGTAAACAATTTGCTGTTTTTTTTTGCCACGAATCTGTATGAAGTTTGAATTTCAGAACTGTTGTGTCGTCTAAAATTTACATGAGTCACTTTTACGTCTTAATTTGTACTTGCTAAGACGATGTGGTCAATGCTATGTTCCACAAAGTACTGGGTTATGAACAAAACTTTCGCCATAGGCGGGACACGAACCCACACACCTGCTTACCGGGCAAGTGCGCCACAATTTACCGCTTTTCATGGTATACTTACCATAGCTTTCAGCACTCACACGTATAACGTGTTGAGCCGGTTAGCCGATATCGGCAATGAACCGCGAGGCTGAAAGCTTTAGCAATTAATTTTTTCATAATACAGCATTCCTGCAAAACATTCGCAAGGCGTATTGGGCCAAAAACAGCAGTTAACAAATATAAACGGTCGAAGCTACGTTCTAAATCAAATGCGAATCATTGCACGCACACAGGAGTGATTCAAAAACTGCCATTGATTACTCTGGTAAAGAAAAGAACTCCGCTTGCTCACCTATTCCTTCTCTGGATTTTGTAAAAAAGCAGAATAAAAAGATTGCTAGGGCCTTATTATAATTTATTGGCAAGATACGAATATTTTGTGGTTGCTATTGGTTTTACAGTCACGTGTTCTTTGGTGTTTTTTTCTGCAAAATGCTGTCAAAAATTTCACTTCAGTGACGTTAATTTCTAGTACAACGTTCCGACCGTGCAGTAATTGTTTACAGAACTGCCACATCGCCCGTAATGGAACTCTTCATTTTCCTTGCTTCACAAAAGTTTGTCCTTTTGGCCAGTTAATGGAAATATGGCCGCACAACCTCTACTAATTTGCACCGCAGAGGTTTTGAAGTATAAACTATCACGTACTGAATTGGACAGATTTCTTTCTAAGGCGAAAATCGAACCCGCACCTCTCACCTTTCAAGGGCTTCCCAGCGATTACACTGCCAGAGTTCCACCTTAGTTCCATTTTTTCCATGTTGTATTTCCCATGGATCAGCACTCACACATATAATGTTCGAGGTGATGGGCCGGTTAGCCGAAATATAAAACATATCAGAAAGTTCATAATGTTGAAGTTTTTTCAATAGCTTCACATTGTTATGACGGAAATCGATAAAAGCAGGACGATTTTCTTGCTGCATTCACTAGTCAACTTCATGCTAGCACCTTACCCTGACAATTTCGCTTTCTATTTATAATTCCCTCTCCTTTTCTCATCGGGTTAAAAAGTTTGGCTTGTTCCATAGTAGTGCATGAAGTAGCACTTATGAAATAGCAAAAATTTCACGTTAATTGCCAATTTGTGAAGAGGGATTAGTTCTTCCCTCATATTTTCTCGAAGCCGGGTTTCAGACCATTTGCACTGCCCTTCCAATAAATTCTTTCGTAGTGGAATGTGCGCGAGTTTGGTGAAACTGCTGAAAACCTTTGGACACCTATGCTTCCCGCCTTACGTACTTTTCGGGCGGAAGTGGTGTAGTGGCAAGTGGCACGCTTACCACGCGAGCGGTCCGGGGATCAAATCCTGGGTCGTGAGTCGCCCGGGCCAACCAAGCCTTCCATCCCTCCGGGGTCGGTTAATTGGTACCAGACTTGTCTGGGAGGATAAAAACACTGACTTGTACATCGGCTGGCCCCCGCAAGTCATTGTATAGGCCACATCGCATTCAAACGCCACTACGAATGTACAAATGGAAGTAGAATGCGTGCCGCAAAAGGGATTGATCAACGGCAAATGCTTTATCCTTTTATACGTACTTTTCTGGCTAAGGAGAAGGGAGCACAATGCATAAGGATGAATAAAACAACTTTGGCGTTACTTCTAAGTTTGTAGGGTACCGTAATAAGAAGATTACCTCCTTTGCGAACTAATATACTGATTAGTTTCTTTGTGTGACTCGCCACAAAGTTCTCATTGGTTTAACCTACCTATTCTAGTTCATATCTTTCCGAGACAATAACCGAATTGCGAAACCGATGCCATTTCTAGTTCAAGCTCCTGTGCTCTTTTGAACTAGGCCATCTTTTTGGATTTCAGGTCTTGAGCTACGAACCAAGAAATCTCAGTTAATGTATTTTTCCTGCTATATCTCAAAATATATTGGTATGGATAGCATTCACTTGAGCAGAGATTTTCAGAGCTTTTTACGACATAAATGTTTTCAATATCTATGTGCTATGTGTTATAAAGGCAATAGTTTAATTATGCGGAACCGGCACGAGCAGAGAGCGAGATGATCGTGTTGGTCTTTTTGAGTCGAGGTGCGCTACAGCAGCAACAACAGCAGAAGGAGCACGATCGTCGCTCTGGCCGACACTGTGTCTCTGTGTCAGCGACGTTCGCATTCGCGTAACACACTCTCAGCTGTTCGCACACTCTCAACGTGCGTCTGCCCTGTCTGATTCGAATACATTTTGGCGCGCTGCCTCAGAATGACTTGACCTGCTCATGGCCTCGTACTGCTCATTTGGGGTCCTTATTAATATCCCTTAACCATTTTATTATCCTGAGCTGCGATGGTCACATAACTTTTTTGCATGAATTTGATTAGCTACTTAATAAAATATTTCCCGTTTCATGGCTCACTGGACGAAGATTCTTCATTAATTGTACGTACTCGGCACAACTCATCATCATTGTTATCAATTGAAGAACTCATCCAAAGCACCGGATCCTTCATTCCGAAGCCCGTCAGTTACGAGTTGCACTGCATCGCTTTGTTGTTTGCGAATTGTTACGTTTTCTTCATTATAGGTAGTCGTTGAAAGTGTTGACGAGACGGACGTACGTGTTCTGAATACGGGTGAAATCCTTTTCCGCGGAGTTTCTCTTGATAAAGGTGCAGCAAAAAGCAGCTCTTCAAGGACCTCGCGTAAGAAAGCGAAAATGGCTGTTGCTGATGAAGAAACCGCCAATAAAGAAGAGGAGAAGTCTGAGTGAGTGAACTTATGGCATGTTTATATTTGTGTTCGGACACCTGAAAGGACTATAATTTAAGCCTTGCGCATACAATTTTGAACCTGTTTTGTCGGTGGGTTTACCGCTAGGTAAAGGACGCTTAGGGGTATGTTACGCTTCTGGAAAATTTGCAGTGACTTCATAAAAGGGCACGTTAAAACCATTGGGCTTGAAAATCCCAGTGGTTTTAACGTGCCCTTCTATGAGTTTCCGAACCATTGGGGTGATCAGTGGTTGTATTGAAGTTTCTCACGTGTACATTTCACTGCAAAATTTTCCTTTTGTTTTCAGCGATGACATCAGTGATGTTGTTAGTGACGAGGATCTTGAAATGCAGGAGATGATAAGGCAGGAGAAGCGTAAGAAAGCCGGAAAACCACCGAAAAAGGAAAAGCAGGTGTGGATTTAGCGGAAGTTTCAACGACTCATTAGTTCTAGTGGAGGATATTTACATATACTTTTAGGGTGAAAAAAAAACTATTTTGTTGTGTTGTTTCTCATACCTTCTTGTCCTGTGTTGTTTAAGTCTGTTAAACCTTACCCTATCCAGTATGAAAGTGGGCTGGCAAATCTTGTTGATAGTGTTGTTCAAGCTGAGACGTAAGAAGATTTGGAGCGCTGTTTAGAGTTTTGTTGTTTTCACTTTGTTTTGCCACATAATTTCATAAACTTGTGATAATTGTGGAAATAACATCATACCTCACAATTTGAGGACCTACAGATTCAAAGGTTACAGTTACCACCTAATAGTCATGAGGTGTGCGTTTTCATGGGTGAGCCACTGTAGTTGTAGTGCACATCGTTGAGCTGGTGAATAGAGAGGAGTAGGTTGTTCTATTCTCGGGATGCTATGCCGTCAAAATTTTAGATGCGTTCATCGAAAAAACGAAAAGCTAAAGATGGCAGCGATGACGAAGAAGATGATGCTGACCGCCTTCTTCGTATGGCTGACGCAGCGCTCAATGAGGAGATAGGCGATATTTCTGAAGAAGACGGCGATGATGCTAGCGTCGTCTCCGAAGTTGAGGACAACGCGGTGTGTAGTCTGCAAAAACTTCTTGGCGTATTTCGTGTATTTGCCGGGGGAAAAAGGTAGTAATATTCAAATTTATTTTCTAGAATGGCATTGTTACTGGAAAGTCTCAACGCAAAACTAGGAGTGCTAAGAGTGCTGTGAGCAAGCCCAATGGTAGTGCGTTTTTGAAAAGGTTGGAATCGAAGAAGCCAAATAGTGAAGAGAAGTCAACCAAAGAAAGGTGATTCTGCGTTTACTGTATTTTCGGAAACCTCTCGAAATGAATCCCTGTTTTCCTGCTGTCATACCTTTTCATTTCTAGAAAAAAGCCATATAAAGAAGAGGGGAATCAGGCCAGGTCTGATGAGGATGACGAGGATGACGCCCCACGAACCAGAATCTCAAAGAAGGAGGTATTATAGAGCCCACTCCAAACCATTTTTTTTTGAGATCAGAAAACTGCGTTCTTTGGTTTTGATCGGCCTCATGTTATAGTCTGTTTCAGAAGGAGCTCGCTAAACTGGTTTCTTCTGCACAGAAGCTCCTAGAGTCTTCTTCTAGTGATGAGGAAAAGTCTTCAGCCAGTAATGATGTCCCTGTGAAGAAAGGAAATCAGCCGAAGAGGAAGAGGTTCACCAGTTTTGTCTAGAATTTGATTCTTCACCGAGATTTTCTTCTTCTACTGACTTGTTTTGCTCCTTAGACGTCGAGTCGTAGCTTCTGACTCGGATGCAAGTGTAGGAGAGCCGTCTGATTCGGATGAGGATGTGAAGCCGGAAGACGATGATGACGAAGATGAGATTATTATTGCGAAGCCGAAATCTAAAAGAAAGAAGGTGAGGTAATTCAGTATTTGATGCTGGAAGTATTCCTCAGACATCAAGCTCCTGGGTGGACTGGATGTTATGAGGAGCTCTTAATGTTAGTCAAGCTTTAGATAGTTCTCTTTATGGGAAAGCAATTGAATGGTATAGTACGATACAGTACAGTAAGGGCTGTCTGTTGATTGTTTATATTAAGACATTAAGTTGCAAAGTGATGTATGACAAGATTTCTATAACGCCATGTGCTGTCGATGGCTCGAAATCTGAGTGTACGATAATCAAGATGTTTGCTTCGTAGGCTGTGGCTGTAGTGGCCAAGGGGTGTGTTATTGATCGTTTTATTACGTAGGCTATGACGGAGGATTCTGACGACAGTGATGAATCGGTCAAGAAGGAAAAAGGTGGCAAAGGGAGTCGAGCGCCAAAGACGATTATGGGTAAGGACAAGCTGCAGCAGGAGACATTGGAGGCGGAGAAGGCTGAAAAGGTTAGGATAATTCCGACCATTAATGATGGGCTTATCAATGTATTTTATACGAGTGAGGATTTCTAGGAACGACGGAAACGTTTGGAGCAGAAACAGAAAGAGTTCAATGGAATCGAACTGGTTGAAGGTGTTGATATCGCAGCAGCGCTTGTGGGCGCCAACAAAACCGTGCAAAAACTCAAGGTTGATAATGCAATGAGTGACATATTACTTAGTTTAGCCGTTTTATGCTTATCTAGTGCATGATGTGTTAACTAAGATCAAAGAGAAACACGCAAGCTTGTAATTTGAACCAAAATTTTCAGTCTGTAGTCGTGGATCCCGATAAAAATGGTGACCCTCCAATCCCGGTCTCTGTGCACCCTTCACTGGTAAGCATTCTGTATACTTTTTACCTTTTGGATTTTAGATTTGTTTTCAGTATGGAAATGATTGAATTCCTGTTCACTATTCGTTTTTAGGTGCGCGTGTTGAAGCCTCATCAAGCCCAGGGTATTCAGTTCATGTATGACAGTGCCTTTGAGTCCACCGATAGATTGGAGGAACCAGGCGGTGGAGGTATACTCGCTCATTGCATGGGTCTGGGAAAAACTTTACAGGTGTGAAAAGAAACTGCTTGGAAATTGTCAAAAACAATAGTCAGCTGCTTTTCAGGTCATTGCTTTTCTCCACACTGTAATGATGCATCCTAAATTGCGAAATTATGCAAGAAGAGTTTTGATAGTTGTCCCGAAGAATGTGGTGATAAACTGGTATAAAGAGTTTCAAAAATGGCTAGACGACAATGATCCCGATCTTGCTTCCATTGAGGTAAGGTTCAGCTTGAAAATGTATTAGTTCACTTATCAGCCAGTCGTTCTTTTTTCAGATTCTCGAATTAGATTCGTTTAAAACTTACAATGACAGACACGCAGCACTTGAGAACTGGTATAATTGTGAAGGTAGGGAAGAAGGGGATGTTGAAATATGATGTCCATGTCAAGCCATAACCTTTCAGTTCCCTCTGTGATGATAATAGGTTATGATATGTTTCGTATACTCACACATGACGAAGATGAGGCTAAAAAGAAGCGTGGACAACCAAGAAAACAACCATCTAAACGTAATAAACGGCTCCTGAAATTGCAGCAGCAGTTTAGAGAGTATCTACAAGATCCAGGTGAGTGTCAAGATGAAGCTATGCCTAGCAGCGACCACATTGAGCACTTTTGTTTCAGGTCCCGATTTGATCGTATGTGATGAAGCTCATAAATTGAAGAATGACGAATCTGCTTTGTCGAAGACAATGGTGAAAATTCGCACTCGGCGGCGGATTTGTCTTACCGGGACTCCGCTTCAGAATAATTTAATGGAGTGTGAGTGCATAATATTTCCTCGAGTTTTAGATTTCAGTGTTTCCTGATTCTGTATCATAATGCACGTAAATCATTATAGACGGAGATACTACCTATTTGCTTTACGGAAGATCACGCGGGAACTGTAAAACAATTTAACAGATTAACAGCTTTCAGAATTTAACCAGTGATAACCATTTGTACGTCTTTCTTCGTATGGGAATAGGTAGCGAGTCTGCTGACCATAACGCTTTGTGAGTAGTGAGTAAAGCCCTGTGAAATTAGCCCATTCTGGATGAATTTTCAGACAGTGATGTATTGAACGGATGTAAAATTGTTTGGAGCAGATATCTGCGTTTTCACGGCGTCAGGGATCAGTCTTTGCTATTTTCTCAAGTTAGCTAATATTGGTCATGTTTAGATCATTGCATGGTGAATTTTGTGAAACCCGGCTTACTGGGTACGAAGACAGAATTTGCTAATCGTTTTTCAAATATTATCATGCGGTATGTTCTGTGCTTCGGCCTCTGCGCTGACTCTTAATATAACTCTGAGAGTTTTCTTCAGTGGTCGGGTCAAAGATGCAACTCCCCTGGAAGTGAAGTTCATGAAAAGACGATGCCACGTTCTTTTCGAGCATCTTAAAAAATGCGTCGATGTGAGTGTTAATCTACATGTTGAATTTTTCCTCTTATTGCTGATCTAAATTTGGAATTCTGTTTTGGATCTACGGGTGTGACTCGCTAGGGCAAAAGCGACTTTTTGCTTTTCGCAGCGCGAAACCGCTGCGGGAACTTCAGGTCCTGCCATGACTGGAAACGGAGCTGGGGTGCCCGCAGCGAAAAAGGTTTTGCACTGCAAAATCTTCACCATCTAATATGTAGTGCGACAGTTCAAGCAATGTGTATCTTTTTCAATTTGCAGCGCAAGGATTATCGAGTTCTGATGGAAGCAATTCCACCAAAGCAGGAGTATGTAATAAATGTTCGACTAACTCCACGGCAGTGCCAACTGTACAGGTAAGATTTCTTATGGAATTTCATCACTATCACCTAGTTTTTCTGTCATCTATTACGACGTTCCGTCCTTTCTCTTTCTTTCCTCGATCCCATTTCTTCCGTTTTTCAACACGGTTGGGGTTTGTAGGGTGTAAAATGAGAGGCTCTCGAAACAAATCAGTCCATCATATTCAGAAATTGTAATTTAAGAGGATTTATAGCTGTGTGCGTTTCCAGAGCCTTTCTGGAAGGTGTGGCAAGCGACGGCGCTCGATTATCCAAGAGACTTCTCCCGGATTATCATGTGCTCTCGCGTATATGGACACATCCATACATGCTTATTCTTCACGAACAGAAGCAGGAGAGAGAGGTCAGCAAAAGAAATTTCGTTTTGGAAATTCAAGTGGAAACTAAACGGAACGCTTTTTCGAACTTCGTACTTCAGACTGTTTGTTTTAAGACCTTACGGTTTGGCCCTTCTTGCACTAAATACTCTCTTCATTGTGCTAGTGCTTTAGTAAAGCATCTAACTCGTTCCAACGTTGTTCGTGGGTGGTACTTATGCGATTTCTTTCTTAATAGTTTTTCAATTAAACTAGAGTAGTTTCTTAAAATCAGTATTGTTTAGCTCATTATTGTTTTTTAGACTATTTGGACTACGTTATTGTGAATAGTAGTTTTCAGCGCATGTTACGCGAAGAGTATTCGGAGGAGGAAAAATTTATTGACGACGACGAGTCATGTAATGATTCTGAATCGGATGAAGACGACGACGATGATGTGATTGTAACTAAATCGTCCAAGAAGAAGAAGGGAGGAAGAGCTCAGGCTGATGAAAGTGACAGCGATGTGGTCGTTCTGTAAGTGGTTTTTGTTTTATTTTTCAATGAGCTTTTTTTCCGTATCAGATCAAGATATAGGATTCCTTCTTTTGTCATAGAAATTGTGTTCTATGATAAGAGAAGGAATCGTGTACAACATCAGGACATTCATTTCCTATCAACGTTGAATAAATTTTTTGTTCCAATGATTTGTCATTTTTTTCAGCTCATCTGATGAGGAGTCTCCGTCAGTCTCCAACCAGGTGAATAGCACAAGGAAATCGAAGCGCTTAATTGGAGAAGATCCAGAAATGGAAGGTCGTGATGTCGAGACTCCACCGGAATACAGTGGATGGTAGGTCCAGTTCTTGTAGAATAGATTATAATTTTCATAGCATGATTAAAGCCAAATAACCTCTCTTACTGATTTCTTTTGAGGTTCGCTCAGTCTGGTCTTGTTTCTCCAGCTGACAGGGACAATTATAAGCTTAGTAACAAACTTGTTCTCCTTGAACAAGTTCTGAAGAAGTGCGAAGAAATTGGAGATAAGCTGTCAGTTCAAGATTAATTAAAAAGAAACTTTTTTCATTGCAGCAGGTTTTTCTTTGAATAATACCACTTTTAGACTGGTCTTCTCTCAGTCACTTGAGTCATTATCTCTGATAAAGCGAATGTTGGAGTATCTCGACCAAACAGGGCAGTGGTTTTCCGATGGTCATGATGCAGTGAAAGCCGATGGCGAAGTAATTCGGTTGTCGTTTTATAAGTGTTGTAGGGTATTCTCCCAAGTTGCGATTCCAGAAGTGGGGTTGGAAAGAGGGCAAAGATTACATGGTTATCGACGGGTCTGTGCAGTCCGGCAAGAGGGATTCCGTGCAAGTGAAATTCAACAATCCTGCAAATTTGCGTGCTCGGTAAGTACTTTTTCACGTGTCACATTTGTAATGTCGAGGGCATGACGCCCTTTTGCCACGCTCTACCAGCGCGGACCAGGATCAACCCTACGTTGTTAACAACGGGGGGGGGGGTCGTACCTGGTTGAGTTTATAGGAGGGGGGTCGTATCCGCTTCAGTCGCGTGAAATGTACATGTGAGTTTGTGGTGAAAGTAGAAAGTTTCACAGTGGCGAGCTACTGAAACCAATAAACCTACCTTGAGCTATAAATCGGTTAAATATACACGGGCTTCGTTTGACCAAATCGATAGACGCGGAAAAGCGATTGAGTGTCATGGGAAGGATTCCAGCACGCATCAAATATTATGACACGGTTTGCTGCCACCATATTGGTGCCGAGGGAGCCAGCACGTGTAGAAATTAACATTAATCTAAAATACATTCAAAACAAGAGAACGGAGGCTTCCAAATCCCCACCCACTGTCTATACAGCAAAACAAAAGGGCAATACAACGGCCTTCCGGGCCGTATGAGGAAAAAACTCTACAACTTATTCTTAGAATCAGACAGTTTTTGTACATTCAGCACAATATTTTACACGCACACTTAACTTTCAAAGACTTAAAGCAGTTCTGGTTGGGAAAATCGGAAAATTTTGTAGGTATTTTTGCTCCATAGCCAGCCGGAATATATTAAAGTTCAACAGTGGTCCGCGCCAGGGTCGGTCCTATCGTTGTTACTTTTTTCAAAAATTTTTACGACCCCCTTCCCCCAAGGTGGACTTGATACGACCATACGACCCCCCCTTCTGACAACCTCGACCCATCATCATCCATCATCCTATCTATGGTATCCAATTCTGGTACTACTCCACCCACGAAACCCCGCCCACTTTTTCCTCCAAAACTGCCGTTGAGCGGGGGGGTATATAGGGGTATAATAGGGGTATACACCTACTCCGAAACGATAAAGAAATTTTCGAAATTTCCTCTATTTCCACCACTTCACCCCTACTTTTTACCCTATTTCAACACTACATAATATACGCACGCTGAAACGGCGAATTTCTCTCCCATGCGCTCCCAAATCACCCAGCCTACTACTCGTGAAAACTCTACCTTCACGATACGACCCTTCTCCTATGACATTCAAAACCCGGTACCACCCCCCCCGCCCCTCCCGTTGTACTAACAACGTACAGGGTTGAATCATGCCCGTCGACCATTACAAACAGGGGTCAAGCGAGGCGTCGAGGAAAATTCGGAAATACGACCCCCCCCTCCCTCTGCCGAAGGCCGAAGTCCATGAAACAACCCTCTTTAAAAGCCGAACTATGAAAAAGTTGTTTAATTCTCCACCAAAACTGCTCATAAAAAAGCCCTGCTACCCCATCGTCCACAAAAAAACTCGTTTAAAAAGTATAAAAGTGAAAAAGTCAAAGAATGATCATTAATGACGAGTCCTGTCAAACGAGCAAACGAGAAACGGAGCAAAAAACGTCAAACTAGTCACTAGAAATGGCGTACTATGACAACACCTCTTCTTTGTTTATTTCCTCCACAAGACTTACCAAATTCTAGTACTACACAGATTATGGTTCTCAATTTACACGTCCCCCTTTCGCTCAAAGGAAGCCTTGTAAAAGCCTTCGCCAGCTGTGTGTTGACTGGACTTTGGCGTTGACCGTGGAGCAGCTTATTTACTATTGAAATTTGAACAAATATTCAAATGATTATAACTTTCTTCAAAGTTAACGAATTTTCAATCTGAAAGCTGATTTGGGAGTTTTGTGAAGAGCTTTTTCTAATCAGTACTGAAATTACAGGAAGTTATAAGAAATAACAAATTTAGATCAAATAACGAGGAAAATTCGAGACGAGCACGAGTTTTTACACTTTCCGGAGCAATAACTTGCTTCATTTCCGTCAAATTCAAAAAGTTGATACGTCATACAAAACTAGAAGATTTTCTCTATCAAACGGTCGCTAAAGCAGCTTCATACGTCCAGTACTCAAAAAATGGCCACGTTGAGGATTTTTGCAAAATTAACGAGGAAAATTCGTGATGAGTGCGAGTTTTTACGCTTTCCAAAGCCATAACTCCGTTCAAACTCATGCAATCTGGAAAGTTAATACGTCATCATAAACTAGAAGATTTGCTCTTTCTAAAGGCAACTAAAACTGCTAAATACGTTCACTATTTAAAAAATGGCCACGTTGAGGATTTTTGCCCGAGTACCGCCGAAAGGTACTTTTTCGCTACATTAGCACTATCCCAACGACTATAGCTCCTTGCAGGAGCGATTACATACTGAAGTAGGAGCAGATTCAAAAATCCTCGTGCTTTTCTCTCTGCAAAAAGTGTAAAATTGTTTAGCGGGTCTCAACTTTAAAGGTTACATGCTTGTGAATTTGACGCTGAAGGCTGCGTTTCTTGTTGAATAGTGTACTCCTCTCTGTAATTTAACATGAACTCTTTCAGAACCCTCTTGATTCTTCCTGAATTAAGATTCGTTATCAAGATAGCCGTAGCTGAAGCGCGCGCAACCAACTGGGCCCACTCTGGGATGCGCCGTGTGCTTCACATCTCGTTGGATTTGAGGACCTACTTGAAAGATAAAATATCCCTAGAAAACGTGCGAATTTCGGATCCTTTGACTTGTGTGGTGATGAAACACTAAAGTCACTAAGAATTGCTAAGCGGACACCTCTAAATCACGAAGATTTTGTGTGGACGGAATCAATTGTTATTGGAAATACTCTGGCCTGGTATCGATTCGATCCTTAATGTTTGTCCTCCGACGATGATCCTACTGTATCAATCGGGCCCGATCTCTCCCCAGCGGGCCAATACGACCCCCCCCCTGTGACATGTCGAGGATTCCTCAACGCACGCTTGACCCTGATTACAAATGTGACACGTGAAAAAGTACTTACCGAGCACGCAAATTTGCAGGATTGTTGAATTTCACTTGCACGGAATCCCTCTTGCCGGACTGCACAGACCCGTCGATAACCATGTAATCTTTGCCCTCTTTCCAACCCCACTTCTGGAATCGCAACTTGGGAGAATACCCTACAACACTTTAAAACGACAACCGAATTACTTCGCCATCGGCTTTCACTGCATCATGACCATCGGAAAACCACTGCCCTGTTTGGTCGAGATACTCCAACATTCGCTTTATCAGAGATAATGACTCAAGTGACTGAGAGAAGACCAGTCTAAAAGTGGTATTATTCAAAGAAAAACCTGCTGCAATGAAAAAAAAGTTCTTTTTATTAAATCTTGAACTGACAGCTTATCTCCAATTTCTTCGCACTTCTTCAGAACTTGTTCAAGGAGACAAGTTTTGTTACTAAGCTTATAATTGTCCCTGTCAGCTGGAGAAACAAGACCAGACTGAGCGAACCTCAAAAGAAATCAGTAAGAGAGGTTATTTGGCTTTAATCATGATATGAAAATTATAATCGATTCAGCAAAAGAACTGGACCTACCATCCACTGTATTCCGGTGGAGTCTCGACATCACGACCTTCCATTTCTGGATCTTCTCCAATTAAGCGCTTCGATTTCCTTGTGCTATTCACCTGATTGGAGACTGACGGAGACTCATCATCAGAATGAGCTGAAAAAAATGACAAGATCATTGTGAACAAAAAATTTATTCAACGTTGATAGGAAATGAATGTCCTGATGTTGTACACGATTCCTTCTCTTATCATAGAACACAATTTCTATGACAAAAGAAGGAATCCTATATCTTGATCTGATACGGAAAAAAAGCTCATTGAAAAATAAAACAAAAACCACTTACAGAACTACCACATCGCTGTCACTTTCATCAGCCTGAGCTCTTCCTCCCTTCTTCTTCTTGGATGATTTAGTTACAATCACATCATCGTCGTCGTCTTCATCCGATTCAGAATCATTACATGACTCGTCGTCGTCAATAAATTTTTCCC